ATGAGTGCTCTAGGAGGACCTCTTCAACATATTTTAAAAAGAGTATGGCTTTCTTGTGTCCATGCCTCTGGTTCTGTTTTGCTTAGAGCCACCAGAGGGGAGAGGAGAAGAGGGTAAGGAGGGAAAGAAGGGGAAGGGCCTAGTCAAAGACCAAATATAAACGACCTATGGACATGAACAACAGGGTGGGGATTGACTGTGGGAGCGGGGGGCGGGCCAGGCAGGGGTGAGCAACAGGGGAAAATTAGGACAACTGTAATCAAAAAACAATTAAATAAATAAATGCATGCATACATACATACATACATACATAAATGTATGGTTTTCTGCCAAGACTGCCTGGGCTCACATCTCAGCCCTGCTATTTATCAGCTGTGACCTTGGGGAAATTTATGTGACCTCTCTATTCCTTGATTTTCTGATCTGTAAAATGGTGATAATCATATTTACCTTGTAGTGTTATTGTAAGGATAAAATAAATTAACAGGCTTTAAAATTACAAGATAATTCCTTGCATATATGCTTACTAAATGTTAACCTATTATTTTACTACATGGTTCACTGAGGTTCAAGTGACCTTACCATCCCAGAAAACCCTACCATGGCTTACAAGTAACTCTTACCTGGTCTGCCTTTCTCACCATGGAGAACTTCATCCTCAAGGAGGCAGACTCTGAAAAAAAGTTTCCAGAGTGCCATTCTAAAATCACATCACTTGCCTGAAAGTGGAAAAAAATCATTAAACATTAACAGGTGGTGTGATGGTTAGTTTTATGTGTCAACTTAACTGGTGAACAGGTGCCCTAATTGAATATTATTGCTGAGTGTCTTCGAGGGTGTTTGTGAATGAGATTAGTACTTGACTTGGTGGGCTCGGTAAAGCCCATTGCCCACCTCAACACACACACTGTGCTTGAGCATCATGGAATCCAGAGAAGGCCTGAATAAAACAAAAGGTGGAGGTGGGAGGAACTAGCTCTTTTTATCCCTGCTTCCCAGCTTGAGTTGGGACATCCTGTTTTATCTTCTCCAACCTTCAGATTAGGATTACTCCATCAGTGTTCCTGGTTCCCAGGCTTTTCAACCTGGACTGAGTTACACCACATGCATTTTTGGGTATCCAGTTTACAAATGGCAGACTGTGGGGCTTCTCAGCTTCCATAATCTCATGAACTCATTCTTCATAACAAATCTCCATCTATAGCTATATCTATCTAATCTATATCATATTGGCTCTGTTTCTCTGGAGAAAGCCTGGCTCATACAGCCCAGAAAAGTCTGTGAGTAGCTTATCCAACCCCATCATTATCACAATAAGGAAAATTGGTCCAGGAGAGGTGAAGATTGCCTCTCAGAGCATACTTGTGGATCCAAGATTATCATTTCATGGATCTACCTCCCAATGACTTCTATTTATTTTCCTTCTACATCAAAGGCCTTCAGAAAAGAGTGTGGAGAGCTGAAGAAAAAGTAAGGGATATCCTACCAGGTAGGCAAGGGACAGCAAAGATTATCAACCAAGGAGCACCCCCAGAAAAGAAAGAGGAAGAAGGGAAGAATAAGAAAGAGGGAAGAATATGCCTAGCTCAGAGGCATTTCCAATACACACAGTGGTAGGGCATGCCAGGTAGAGATGACTGGTGCATTCCCTGGGGGTGTGGTCGAGAGGATGGAAAGGGAAGAAAGAGGAACCAGCAATGCTTGGGATGACTGAACCTGACTTTCTTTGGGGATTTCCAGAGAATCTATTCTGGAACTTCACGGTTGGAGGGAAGTAAACGCCCAAACCCAACAAATGCTCTAAAAGAAAGCATCCCTAGATAAAGAGCTTAAATGTCAGTTACCCTTTTGACAGAAAATTGGAACCTGGTGAGACTTTTTCTCAGCAAGATTGGATGTTGTACGAGAACTCTCAAATCATGTGTAGTTCCTCTTCCAAGAAATCTGAGGGTCTTCAAGTTTTCCTGTCAACAGTCAATGACTACAGTGTGACTCTAGAACAGCATAACTGTGAGTAATAGTCTCAGACACTGAAATGTTTTGATCTGATGCCTTTTGATTTTCTACAATATGCAAGCAACATGTTTTAATTGGTAGATTGGATTTTAATTTATGTTTATTCTTTGCCACTACCATATTATAAGACTACATAGTAGTTTTCATAATTTGAGAGAGGACACCAGATATTTGCTCTGTAATTTTTTTTATATACTCAAATGCCTTTAGACAAAACAAGAACCTAATTTAGTCACCCACTAGCCATGAAAGCATCTGGGGTACATAATATTTTTTCCACGGGGCCTGGATGACTGCTTTCAGTGCTTGTTTATTTGACCTGGGAAAACACAGCTCACAAACAGCATCTGGATTTCAGAGAGGGTTCCTATATTTGCCCCCAAATTCTCCCTTTCAGTCAATGATCTTCAACTGACTCATCTACAAGGTCAGAGAGTTGAGTTGCTCGGCAGAGACTAAAGTGTAAGCGTCTCTGGCTGGTTCCCTGTAACCACCAAACCCCACAATCTTCTCCCTGGGTGTGTGGCATGGTAACCTGCCTGAGGTTTTGCCAAGACCACCAGAGACCAGGGGAAAAACAGATCTCATAGCCAAAAGTGGGTACCATGGTCCTGACAAGGGTAAGAAGGATGGTAGAGAGGTTTGAGAATTTGTTTATTTTATTTAAAGAGTTCACTATTAAGAGCAGAACGTAGGGTAGGGTAAGAGAAGGGACTTTTTTTTTCCCATTAAAAGGTGTGAATGAGAACTTGCAATATTTGATGACATGTTTTTCCCTGAGAGATCTTCACCCTTGGCAGTCCCATTTGAGACACTGATGAAAAGCTGTGAGCACAGTTTTCTAAGGTCTCCAAGAGAAACCCAATAGATTTAACTTACTCCAGTTCCAGTGATGTGAGGACCTCAGAGTAAATGAAGAAATAAACAGCAAGAGGTGTTTTTGAACACTTGAGCAAAGATGAAACAAGGCTAGATCATGAGAGTGTCACCTTGACCTGTAGCCTCTAATCACCCTGAGAATTATGGCCTTCCTGGTTTTTGCCCAGTTTCTTCATTTCCTTTATTGTATGATTTCTGGAAATAGGCCACTGCTTAGCTTAAAGCACCTGCCACTGTGATTTTTAGCAACACCAGATTGAATTCCATAGTTGATTTATTGTATCACTATTGCATCATCAAGACATACCTGAGCATAAAAGGAGGGTTCCAGGAACATGGAGACTTTTGTCATTTTAATAAGTGCATAATAAGGCTAGATAAAGCGAAGAAATACCTACTCGTTTTTAAAACAAGTTCATTGGTGACCCTGGTTAATGCTTAAATCTAGTCTTTTCTTACCTTTTTTATCTTCTTTTCTTCTTTTTTAACTTTTGATGTAAGGAAAAAAAACTCCAGTTATTCTACAATGTGTGAAGTCAAACCCTAGTTATACTTACAAACCTGCCAGAATCGAAATTATTATTGTGTTTAGAAAGATATATAAAATAAAAGTTAATACTTATACAAAAGCAATTATATAAGGATATATCTTCAGAGCAAAAAGAGAAAATAAGCTTTTCCCTTTACCTTATAAGTGGAAAAACCTAATTTTTAAACGCTCCTAACTTCATACATAGTTAATATTTAGCTTCCCTGACTTTTCCCACAGAAGTAGGCTGGACTAGAGCCCCTTGCTCTATTTATTTTTTTTCTCTCTATTTTTTGTCCCTCTTTTCCTCCTTTCTTCTCTTTCTTTACCCATAATTCATATCCTTTGGCTCTAGGCCATCATTTTTTTTTGCCTTAAATAACTGTGCTTTTCTTGTCTTCATGTAACATTATCTCCTTGAGACTCACAGCTTTCTTTGTCGTCTTAAAATGAATTCATTGTTACAGACAAGACCTATGCTTATTTTGGTATCCTACAGTTTTGAAGAGATGTGCATAGCGTTTAGAAAACTAGTTAGAATTCCTTTCAAATCTTCCCAGTGCTTTTATGTTGAAACCCTATCCATCCCAAAGCTAGGTACAGTACTATTTGTAACAGACATGATCCAGCCCTGAATGATAACACTGGCAAGGAAAAAATTAGAGGTGATTGAACCCAGTTTAGTCTGCAAAGCAATCCTGTATCACAACATTTCCTTCTCAACATGTTCATAAATTCTCATGATTATGGGAGGCAGTGTTTGTAGATTGGAACAACTGCAGCTTTTGAAATAGATGAACCTCACTTAAATATTACCTCTACCAGTCAGTAGCTCTGGAATCATGGTTGAGTTAATCTCTCTCCCTCAATTTTTTATAATGTCTGCTACGTAGTACTACAGTGAAGATTATTGAGAAATTGCCATGTGCAGTATTAATGCAATGCCTATCACATAGTATGTGCCTAATGGAAAAATATTTTTCCTGATACTAAAGAACAAATCAATAGTCACATTACATAAACAATAGTAGGATAAGAGAAAGGCACAATTCCTACAAGGTAAATTCAATACAGTTAATTATTTTCCATGGAAACTGGATCTTAATTTGAGTCTTAGCTCAGTTAATTTGATCATAGTCCCTAGATTTGGGGGGTCTGGTAATTCACTCTGGATGCCCACCTCTTTTCTGAACAAAGTCCACTCCCTATGGTGGTCCCTAGTTGGCTAATGGTAAGGCAACACTAGTCATCATAATATACAAAGTGCATTGGCATTGCAATAGCAAAATCCACTGGGCTCTACTCCATTATTCCTATAACTCCTGGGAAAAGCTGCTTGAGCTCACTTACAAGCCTGGTCTAAACAAAGCCAAGAAATCCATGTTTCTCCTGTTTTCTAGGTGTTGTAGATGCACTTAAGAATTGTGACAAAAGCTATAATGTGACATCTCCAACTTTTCTTATCAGGTCCAGATTCTTCATGGGTTTGTAATTTTTAAGCCTGCACAGCCCAAAAAAATCACAGGTGTGGAATATAACTGCTACTTACTGGCTCCTAACCAAAAGAAAGATGGGTGCTCACTTCGGTGCCCATACACTAAAATTGGAACAATACAGAGATTAGCATGGCCCCTGAGCAAAGATAACATGCAGAAGAAAGATGGTATATCAGACACATTTATTTAATATCTGACAAAGGACACTTTAAGAAAAAGAGTATTATAAAAGATAAGGATATTTCTTTATGATAAAAAGCTTAGGTCATGCATGGGATATTAATAAAAATTGTTTGTTAGAAGGGAGACAAAACAAATAACAACCAATTTCAAAAATTTAAAGTATACAGGATATAATTCCTCACTACATTGCAATTAAGCTATGAACCAATTGTAAAAAAGATGACTGGAAAATCCTCCTATTATTGAAAATTAAGAGATTTAGTTCTAAATAATCCATGTGCAGAAGAAATACGAGTGAATACTAGAAAATATTTTAATCTAACTGGATGTAAAAATAAAGCATTTCAGAACTTGACTAAAAAAATAAAATAAAAATTTGGAAATATTTTGATCTGACTTAAACTGTACATCAAAATTTGTGAAACTCCAAAGCCATAGTTAGACATGTATAATGTTGATATTTGTTTTTTAAAAAAGAGAAAGAAAGCTTGAGAATCAATGAGCTAACACACAGCTTCAGAAGTCAGAAAAAGAACATCCAGTTGAACAAAAAAAGTGGAAGAAAATAAAAATAAGAGAATGTGGTGAAATAGCAAACATATAATAGAGAAGATCAATAAAGAAGCAAGTTAGTTCATTGAAAAGTCTAATAAAATAAATAAATGATGGGCACCACTATCAGGAAAAGAAGAGTGTAAACACGAATAACCAATATAACCAATACCAAAAATGCGAAGGAGGAGGTAGCACTACTGAAGCTCCTGCAAACATCTGACTCACCAGCTGAAATGAAATGGTGTTTGAGATTTACTTTAAAATAACCCAAGGGAACGGGGTAGTGGGAAGACTGTAGATGAAATAAATTGGCCAGGTGTTCAGAGTTTTTGAAGCTGTAAGAGAAGTACATTAGAGTTCATCCCACCAGTCTCTCTAGCTTGGTGAATGCTTGGATTTTTTTTTTCAGAAACAGGAGAAGGAGGAACAGCAGGAGAGGAAAGGAATGAAGGAAGAAACAAAGGGAGACAGAATTTATCAAAGAGTATTATTGTATTTCCCAGTTTACACCTTATGCCCTGCAATCCCAACTGCTTCTTCCCATTTCACCTGAGTTTTCCTTTTGTAACAAAGTAGTGTTTTTATAGTTGCAGTAAAACCACCCAGGATGGGTTGGGTTAGGTGCCCTTTTTGTGCTTTCACCTTCATCATGGCTTAACTAGTAGTATTTGAGATGTATGTTTGGCAAGCAAAGTTCTCACTATTGAACTGAAGACAGTAGAGAATGCCCTCCCACTCTGGCTAACCCTAAACAGATACAGAATAACACCTCCCTTCACAGCAACTGGCAAGTCCCTGACTGATTAAATGAGATGCACTTGGCAGGAGGGGCAGAACCAGCTGGACTCTGGGTTCTGGTGGGAGACTATTCAGCACTACTCAGTGTTCTAGTAAGTTCGACCATGACTCATGCTGCAGCCTATGAGATGCACCAACCATCCAGGCTGCCAGGAGCTGAGTCTGCACGAAAAATGAAAAATTACAGTTCAAATGAGAAATTTGTGTGGGAAAACAGCTGTGTGGTCCAGCTATAAAGTGTATAGACTTGAGAATTCTTAACTCTCTTGCTAAAATGCTCTTGTCATTTATTAAGTGGAGTAAAATCTAAAACTAAATATTTCTTTTTTACTCTTAGGTAATGCTTTTTTTATTTTATGTTAAATGCTTTTACATTCAAAATACATATTTGGTAAAAATATACTGAATTTGGTACTGAATTTTAGTTTCTCAAACATGTTACTCATAAACATTACTTACACAAAATGTAGAGCTTACATTCACCAGTCATCAGGGCGGTTACAGTGCCATTTCTGACTGCACACACAGAAAAGACAGAAGATACAAGTCTGCTAGCTAAGGTATTAGCATTCTATTTTGAAATTAATAGTCATTTTGAGAAGACTATTCTTGAAGCTGACAACCAACAAAAGCAGCTGCAGAAGGTGTATTTACCTATCATTCTGTGAAGATGGCTTTTCATCTGGATCAAATGACTCTAAATTTCATTCATTTGTTTTTTTAAAGATTATTCTTTCTGATTGGTTTTATTTTAGATTTTATTTATTTATCTTTAGAGGGGAAGGTAAGGAGAGAGGGAGAGAAATATCAATGTATGGTTGCCTCTCATGCGTCCCCTGCGGGGAACTGGCCTGCAACCCAGGCACGTGCCCTGACTGGGAATAGAACCAGCAACCCTTTGGTTCACAGGCTCGAGCTCAATCCACTGAGCTGCACCAATCAGGGCTAATTTCACTCATTTGTTAATATAAGGCTTCTTGTGGACGTCTGAAAAGTGAAGTGACAGCTATGAACATATTGGTTCCATTAGTTCACTAACTCCTTAAGCATGTGAACACTGGTTTCATCCAGTGTCATCAGATGCTACAAACAGAAAATCAGTTAATCCAGTCATGCTTTCTTGCTTTCACAGATCAAATGTGTAGGAGTTTGTTCTGTTGAAAAGTCAAAATAGCTCATTTTTGTGAATACTTTTGTAAACTGTGTTCAGAAATTCAACAAGGAAGACAAAATTATTTAGGGTTTTAATAATAAATACAAGTTTTGGTAAAGCATGACACCAATATAAGGCAATTATCTTGTTAAACTTCAAACTTGAGTCTTACTTAATCACTGGCTGTGGTACACACATAATTCATAATTATATCTAAATAAGATACTATATTCTAACTAAAAGTGCTTGCTTTCAGTACTTACAGATTAAATTTTGAGAATGAACTACAAAAAATTCTGACAAACTTATTATTAAAGTAATGTAGCAGAAAGCATGTTCTGTCTTTGCCATCCACCATCAGCCTTTAGACATATTCAAAGCTTTCAAAAACTCCTTAATAATTCAACCTCAATGTCCTACAATACTTTTGAAGTTCTTTATAAACAAGACCACTAAGATCCAGTTTCATTTTTCCCAAAATCAGTTGGAAATCTTTAATGAAAATATTCAACTAATGGAACATAAAACTTCAACTCTTGTAGTTACCAATTGCAATTAAGTAACAAAGCCTTCAGAAATATAAATATGCCACTTTAAAAATAAGGAAGAACTAGAGAAATAAGATATGAAAATTCAAATGGTGTCCAAGATTTAACATTAAAACACTATAATTGAGATTTGTAATATTTGAGCTTGTCATAAAAAATCTTTTGATGGAGCTCCCCTTTCTAATTGGATAAATTTATATTCTGAACTGGAGTGCAATAAAATTGAAAAGCCCCACAATCTTACAGCATATAAATTTAGTGAATTCTCAAAAGGATCATAACCATAGACAACTTGTTTGATGAATTTTGCCTTGCAAAAATATTTTTCAAAGAAATGTACTCTGAATTGAAGCAAAAAGACACAACCTGTGAAAATATTTGGACTAAAATATTTATAAATTTCATTATGAAATAAATAATAAAATTTATTCCAGGAAACTACTATGAGCTTTGAGGTACCTCAACACCTGTGGCATGCTCTCAATGAAAAATATTTTGATCTACAGAGAAAAGTCAGTTGAGATTGTCAACCATTTCAAATTTAGAAAGATAAAACCCCACTTTGAAAACACTGCAGCCAATTATAATCATGACCCACATAACAATGATTTGTTCAATGATGAACCACATGTACAGTGGTGGTCCCTTAAGATTATAATGGAGCTGAATTTCCTGTAAGAAATGGAACAATATGTGGTTCAAGAGGAATTTTGTTTCCGATAGGAGCGGTATCTGTGCGGCTCAGGAATAGATTCCCTCTCAGTTACAGCACCTCAATTTTGAGTGCACAGATTACATCTCAGTAAGTCAGCCATTGATTTATTTCAACACAGAGGAGCCTGTCTCTCCAGTGGAATATGTTCAGAAGGTGCTGCAGCCCTCCCAGATCTAGCCTGGTGGTCTTCAGAGGACATCGTTGTGCATGTTTTGTTCAGGACCCATGATCCTTATATGGCAAAGGTCCTCCGGAGATTCCTTAGTAAGTATTGTGCCACTGTCACTTTAATAAAAGCTCTTTGTGGTAGAGTGAAGCCTATCCCTGTCCTTTGGAAATATTTTCTGGTTCTAATGGTGTAAAGCACAGATACGTTTTATTTCTTTCATCAGTTTAGTGATGTAGAAAGCCCTTTGTGCCAGACAGGGTCAATGGGAAAAAAAAATTCCAAAGTCAAAATATTGAATCCTCCATGTAAAACACCTTCTTTCTTAAAACAAACGAATGAACAGAGTTCCTAGTGCTACAGCATGCAATAGCCAAAACCACATTGTCATGACAATCCCCTATGTTCCTTTATCTCTCCATCTTGATTTCTTATTCTATTGATCCTCAGGCCACTCTTCAATCCCTGCCAACAGTCACTATTACGGTGATCTACACCTTCTGTGGCTGGTTTCTCCTCGATATTGCCAGTCAGTCCAACCCACATTCCTGTTTATGGAGTAGCACTGACAACTTCTATGTTCTATTTTGGACCCTTTGGGAAGGAAGCAGGGGGATGGCATGTAGGACTGTGTTTATATACTACACAGTAAGGCACAGCAATGCCCTTGGCCTTCACACTCAGTCACTGCTCACCCACTAATGCACCCAGACAGAGTTCTGCAAGCTCCACTGGTGATAAATGCCCTATACAAGAGTATCATTTTGTATCTCTTATGTTGTAATTTTATTATAACTTTTCTATGTTGGGATAAACAAACATTTATCATTATGTTAAAATTTCCTACAGTATTCAGTATTGTAATAACTGCAGGCTGGCAGCCTGGGAGCACTGGGCTATACCCTGTAGCCTAGGCATGTAGTGGGCTAGACCATCTAGGTGTGTGTGAGTGCACTCTGTGATGTTCACACAACAAAATCACCTAACAATACATTTCTCACAACATGTCCCCATCATTAAGCAAAGTATTACTGTATATAAAAATTTTTAAATATGATAATATTGGAAAA